AAGCCCGAAACCTTTTGCGGTTCAGCTACTGCTTCATTACAAACAGAGATTGACTGGCTGTTCCGCTGCCTAGTGCTTACTGTTGTATTGAAAGTAACAGCAACAGTCGTCATCGATGTTTTCTGTGAGGTTCGAACTAAGTGTTTAAAGCTGGCCACAATAGTCATTCCTCTTTCCCGAACCTCTGTGGTTATTACCTCGCGATCGGGAGAACCCCGGCAAGGGTGATCTCTGAGAAGACCAGGAGATTCCCTGAGGTTCCTACCCTCAAAATCAAGTAAGTAAAAGTAAAGCTATCCCTGTAACATGTCATGAAAGCTCATAGGGTTGTGAGACGTTGAGGGTCCCACATTATCTACACAATCGGCGGTAAGGTTGTCAGCCCTACTCGCCGGCCGCCTTTACTCCCCAGGAAAATTATATCATTAATTCCTGGTACTCATTTTTGTTAGTGGCTTAGTAGACCCCAGGGCCATAGTGCGACCGGAAGGATTAGGCCAATTGAAAAAATCCAATGACCTCATGGGGACTTGAACCCGCGACCTTCCGGCTTGTAGCATAGTGCCTCAACCAACTACGCTACCGCGTGGCCCCCTACCCTCAAAATATTTAATAATAAATACATAACGGAAAGAAAGGTAAATATAAAAGAGCATGACAATTCGACACGAACTGAAATTCATTTACTATAACGAGACCACGGAAAGGAGCTATAACAAAATTATTTAGAATAATTAAATAAACAGAAAGCCGTTTGCTGATAATGAGGAACACAGTATATTGTAAATGTTTACGTTTTCATAAGGTTCTTCCTGTGAATACGAGGATAAACTAATAAAAAAAATAATCGAAGATAAATTTGTTGGATTTGAGATTCTCATGGCGTTAATTACGAAAAACTGCTAACATCATAAGCTGCAAGTGACCCAGCTCAGGGCGCAGCTTGCGATCTGGAAGAGCCCAGTTGAAGGAACATTCCTGCTGCCATCTTTAGGAGGAATTGATAATTACGCTAAAACAGTTGGTCTGGTTATTCCCGACACCACGTGTAGCAGTTCAGCTGGGAATATGTAATTACTTACGCTGCGAACAAGCCGTTAACTAACCGAAATGAAATCTCCATGCGTGTAGGATTCATTGGATAACAATTGAGACTGAATAATGTGTCTCTATTCGTGAACACGATTGATATTGCAGTGTGAGATATTTGTTTATGGGCTTCATTCGCGTGTTGTAACTCATCTCTTTATAGTTTACTGTAAAGCAAATTGAACCTAGAAGAGTTTTATCTTCTGAGGTGTGACGCCGTGTAGTTCGGTAGAAGCTTACTGGCGTTACGGCGTCACGTATTGCCTCCATTCAAGCTCTTCGTTAAGGAATTTTCTCCAGTTCTACAGTATTTAACTCCTTAAAGGTCCAAATAACCCCTTGTCCCTATGTTCACACACTCATTATGTCCTTAACTCAGGGTCAGCGTCAGGGACCAAGTAAACGATCAAACAGATGCTCTGTGGAGTCATGTCTTCCGTGGGATTAAAAGGCTTGACAAAACTAATACACTTTAATGAGAGGCTTTTAAAAATATGTTATGGATTTAGTAACACTGCAATAAATAGTATTGTTTAATTTTACTGTACATAAAAATTAAACCATAATTTTGTCTGTGGTTCTGTATGGGTGTGAAAGCTCGTCTCTGACATTGAATAAGGAACGTAGACTGAAGGTATTTGAGAACAGGGTGTTGTGGAGAATATTTGGACCGAAGAGAGATGAGGTGACAGGAGGTTGGAGAAAACTGCATAATGAGGAGCTTCATAACTTGTATTCTTCGCCAAGTGTCATTAGAATGATCAAGTTAAAGATGATAAAATGGGCAAGGCATGTAGCACGAACGAAGGAGAAGAGAAATGCATATAGGATATTCGTATTGGTGGGAAAGTCTGAGGGAAAAGGACCACTAGGAAGAACAGTGGCATTAGAAATCAACCGACCCAACATATTTTTTAATTTTTTAAGAATGAATCTATTTGGCCGTAATCACTTGTGCGTTGTATGTTGTTAAATCGGTTTGATTTAAATTATAATGCAGTTTCGTAAACATTTTGTGACTGTCGTTTCACAGTAATCTGGAATTCTGCTTTGCAACCGGTATATATTTTTTTGGCTTAAGGACTTATGGATCTGTTTATGGGTTACATGTATATTATAAATATATTCATGCAACAAACACACCAATATTCATATATTTATAAACTTAAAAATGTAAAGTTGTCCCTGTAATTAACTAATTAAGCACTAAGCCATGAAAGCATATAGGGGAGTGGATATTAAGCTCCTCGTGCTCTTGACCTCGGCATTAGCTGGAGGTGAGAGACCAGCTTCACGCCCCTGCCGCTTTGCCCTCAGGAAAAGAACCACGGTACATATTGGATGGACCTTAGAGCCGGTCTGGACGACATGGAGAACAAATATTCTCAATCCTACCGGTAATCGAACTCCGATCCCTCGGTCGTCCAGCCCGTAGTTAATCTCTATACGGACTCCTCATTCGCGTGTTTATACGTGTACATATTCTAAACACTGCAGCATCTCCTTTCCACATTAGGACAAGTACTTGAGAAGTGAAGAACCTTGGCCGAAGAACGGTTCAACTGACATGCTCATTTTGAGCCCCTATAAATTCACAGTTCGTCAACAGTACAAGAAAAACTATTAAAAAAAATAATATATGAGGTCCACGACCAATTAGGTGAAACATCTTTTTCCTATATTTCATTGCATTGTACACACTAAAAATTATGTAAATGTTATATTAAGCGATTCCATTTAACAAAATTTAAAAATAAAAATTTAAGTTTGTATATTGACAAAATTTTAGCCCTGGGTTATTTGAAGTTATAACTTAGCCTCTATAAAGAGATCGTAACAGGTTTCGAAAAGCAAATGAAGATATAAATCAGATACAAGGGGTTCTCAGAACGTTCGGGTGAAAGATAAATTCTTGACGTTTGTATATTCCATTTCAATGTTCAGACATTCGAGACTTATTCCCTTCATGCATAGAGCATTTCAATTATTTTCTCTCCCAACTGTTAGACGGTGTAGTCGTGAATCAGAGGTGTGTTTAATCAACATGGTCATCCTGTTCAGAGAAGTGAAGGAGAGAACAGGCCTACATGCTGGCTTCAACGGACTGCTTTATCGTCTGTCCTCTGGTCTGAATAGTCATTTGTAAGCCATTCGGTATCAATTCAGGGTCTGGTCAAGTGGGATTTGTGGCGGACAAAATGGCGCTGGGGGAGGTTTTCTCCGAGTACTTCGGTTTCCCCTGCCAATCTTCATTCCACCAATTGCTCCACAATCACCCTCATCTATCATCAGGGGCTGGTACAATAGGCCAGAAGTGGTCGCAGTACAAGGGACTTAGTCTCACCCCATTAGCATTAAAAAAATTAAGCCATTCAATATGTTATGAAGCTGGTTAATTATATTCTTTTTTCAACTTAAACTAAGCAATGTACAATAAAATAAGTAACAAAGAATACAAAACAGTAGATACAATAAAATAAAACACTCAGCTGAGTGAACTGTAGGATATCTGACTGGGGCAGCAGATTCGACTATTTAACTAACTCCATGGAGTTGAGCCCTTCTTGAGAAGCCGCCATTTGGTCAGCTACTAAAATTTTCCCTAAATTTTATGGAACTCTCCGTATTCATAAGAACCCTCCACTGGTCCCTATCCTGAGCCAGATCAATCCAGTCCATACATCACATTCTATATCTCTAAGATCCATCTTAATATTGTGGCGTACAGACACATTGCTAGGCAACGGATCAGTAAACAAGCCTTCTCAAAAATAGAGTTGCTGTGTTTTCTGCGTTGTCCATGCAGAGGTGTTATAATGGGGCAATGAAGGTCGTCTTAGTTGTCAGAAGTTGAGAAGGTGACAGAGAATAACGGCAAGAAAGGAATTAGGCGGTGCAAAGAAGACTTCATGTATGATTTGAAGTTACAGTGAGACTGCGATAAATCCGTTGCTAGGATACCACTAGTGAAAACTGGGAATCCTATTGCGTGTGTAGCGGTGAACTGTAACAACAATAGCACTGTCTTATCTCTAGTCAAGATTGGTGTGTATAAGGTGTCAAAAAATCCAATTGTCCAATCCGGAATCCGTCTTATAAGTAAGGCACGGACCTCATTATCCTTCCACTTACGTTTAGATTTTCCTAGTGGTCTATTTATATTTATTTATGTACCTATTAATATTACAAGCCGGAAGATCGCGGGTTCAAGTCCTGATGAAGTCACTGGATTATTTTTTTTCAATTGACCTAATCCTTCCAGCCACACTATGGCCCTGGAGTCGACTCAGCCTATAACAGAAATGAGTACCAGGAATTAATTAAATAATTTTCCTAGGGAATAAAGCGCGGCCAGCGCGTAAGGCTAACAACCTTACCGCCATCTTTGAGCCGATCGTCTAGAAAATGTGGGACCCTCAACGTCTCACAACCCTATGGACCTTCACGGCCTGTTACAGGGCTAGTTTTACTTTTACTAACTTACTTACCTATTAACTAATTGATTTATATAAAAATGTCAGTTATGCAAAATATAAAATGTGGAATTACAGGACGATTAGCAAGTAATGGAATGGAGATGACGAGGAAGGAATTTCTCGCGACATAATCAGTTCAAGTACCCCAGAATGACTGTAAGGAGTGAGGTTATATTCCACAAGAAACCTAGTTAGGACCGGCGGTTTTCGGACCGAAATTTTATCCAACAATCTGCAGCATACGAGGCAAGAGTGCCTCAGTGTTCTGTAAGTGATTCTTTTTCCGAATCATTCTGGGAACCCTCGCATATATGTACCGGCCTCCATTTTCTCATGACTGTTGCAGCGACATTTAAACCTTAGTTTTCATGTACAAGTTTCATCAACTGACCTTGTCGGTCGGTGAGTGATGTTTTTTTGCTGGTGCTGTTTCAGGATGCAGCAGCAGCAACAGCTGGCAGCACAGTTATCCCATCACCACGGATCACCGCGGAGATCCACCGAGCCCCCCCACAGCCCTACAGCGGCCAGTACGACGTCCGACTCCAGCATCAGTCTGGGGGCACACTCGCCTCCCATCCCCACATCGCACACTCAGTCCCACACGTTGCCCCTGGCGCTTCACCGCCCCTTTTCACCCCCCAGACTCACGTGATATCGGCCCCCGCACCCGCCCCCCGGATGTTGGTGACAGTAGAAATTTTATCTCCAGTTGACCTATCTGTCTGGTCTTCTATAGCGGGTGTTAAAGAGTGACACAAACACCTGTGTTTAACAAACTGTAATTGTGCTTTGTGGAGAAACTGCTCCTTCTTTTTCTACAAGCACAGAGTAACGAAAGAAGTGTAGATTATGTAATGAATGTGTGATGACTGAAGAAGACCTCAGGTCAACTATAAATTGAAAAATATTTAAGAAGAATTTATTTGATAACATGGTCAAATATCACACTATTATTCTGTAAGTCCTGAGAGATTTTAAATGAAAGTCAGTCTGATCATTAGACCACAAATTAATAAATATATTATTGCAGGGAGTCAAACATCATTCAAATTATTTAAAGGGTGCAATGCCGTGTTATACAGCTACCAAGAAAAACCTCTCGAATAGTTCGAAATTTAAAATTCTGTTAACATTTTCATCACCACCAAATAATCTCTATATTTTTAATCAATAAGTATATAAATTTGTTCATAACATGTGTACGCGTTTCAGGTCGCCTACCATATATGGGCATAACCTTCACGAGAAATATAAATAAATTATTGGTTAAATACAAAAATAATCCGTGCACTGAATGTCAATTGATTCACAAAACAACACTTAGAAATTTTTCAGGAAACAGGAAATTAGTTCTAAAACTGGCAATTCTATAGACATTTGATTTAATAAACATAAATTTGAAAGGAGTTATTTGAGACTGTGTAATTTTGTATCCTTTAATCAATCGGCATACAGCCACATTTCAGATAAACGTCATATTCGTTCATATATATTTTTAGAGGAGCCCGCCAACGTAAATTAGATCGAACTGCGGCCTGTTTCGGAGGAATATATCGCTTCTGTCTTCAAGATCGAATATTAAGTCAAGCAACTATTACATGTTTTATGCAGTTATGTTTTTCTTAGCTTATTCTTCGGCCCTGAAGTTGGAGGCGACAGATTCCTCTGAAACGTCGGTTGGATTTTAACGGAATATATGACGTTATATCCAAAATATAGTAATCTTCGTGAGTACTTCTTCTGAAAATATTGCAAAATACGGTAATTACTCAAAATTGTCCCATTGTGTACCATATACTCGTGCCCGTAAATATAAGGCAATACTTTTACTTAAAGAAACGACTTTTCATTTTTAATAATAAAATAGCCTACAAGAATTCATAATAATATACTGCAGTATCCTTTTGCACTGCGTAATCTAATTTTGTATTCCAACTTATTGCCATCTTTGTGCAAACTCCTTGATATATCATAACATCTACAAATAAAACACCAACGTAACCCGTTAAATATTACCTTGACACCAGACACTAGCATAACAACGGCAAGGTAGCCTAAACTGTTCTGAAGCTTTTACATGGAAAATGAAAAGCCGAACAGCGTAATTTCCTTCAACTCGACACTTTATAGGAGGGCATGCGGTAACGTAGTTGGTTGAGGCACTACGCTACAAGCCGGAAGGTCGCTGGTTCGAGACTCGATGAGGTGTATTTTTCAATTTACCTAATCCTTCCAGCAGCATTATGGTCCTTTTGTCGACTCAGCCTTTAACAGAAATGGGTACCAGGAATCTACCTGGGGGTAAAGGGCGGCCGGCGCGTAAGGCTAACCGTCTTACCGCCATCTGAGAGCCGACTGTCTAGATAGTGTGGCACCCTCGTCTCAAAACCCTATGGGCCTCCATGGCCTGTTACAGGGATAGCAACACTGATCTGATGCCATCTGATGATGGCCAGTTAGGCCGAAACATGAAGGGTTGTATGATGAACAGACAAGATGACTGAACATTTTTTATTGCTAATGGGGTGGGACTAAGTCCCTTGTACTGCGGCCACTTCTGGCCTATTGTACCAACCCCAGATGATAGGTGAGGGTGATTGTGGAGCAATTGGTGGAATGAAGATTGGCAGTGAAAACCGAAGTACTCGGAGGAAACCTGCCCCAGCGCCACTCTGTCCACCACAAATCCCACTTGACCAGACCTGGGATCGAACACGGGCCCCCGCGGTGGAAAGCCAGCGACTAACCGCTTGAGCTGTGGCGCGGCCTTGACTGAACATTTAATAGATGGGTAAGGTTGCACGAACATGGCAAGGAGTGGCAACACAAAGTTAGGCCTGCAATAATATTAATTTGATTTAGAAATATAATCAATAATAAACAAGATCATATGACATTAAATAAAATTATGAGCATGGTTGAAAGAATTTACATGTAGGATATTTCGTGTAGAGCACGAAATGAAACTGCTGGCCGGTTGGTGTTGTTTGATTTCTGCTTTTAAGTAGAAACATTGACGATCATATGAAAACATTCAACCATGTATACAAAGCATAGCAAGACACAAAATTATCACACTAATTACAAAATCAGAGTGTTTTCCTATGAAGAAAAATTTAAAAGTATGCACTAAATTTCTCATCATATATTCACTGTTCACATCAATTTTTAAATTATGTTTTGTGATAAATTTTACATAAATTATTTACATGTGTAGGTACAAATTGCGTGCCGTTTGAGAAATATCTTATGTCCTGTAAAGAATCTGTTTAACTCAGTTTTGTATTTGATCATATTTTCTTTTTTTTTTTTCTCGTTATTAAATTCTATTAGAGCTTAGACATATGAAATTTATTTTAAGTGCAAGAAACATTTGACTATATCTCCCTTGCTTTCATCACTTAAATATAATTTAGTGGAGGCGCAGCTCAGTGGTCTGGCACCGCACCTTTGCTGAATTCCTGTCACTGTGAACTTCACGCGACGAAGTTGCGTGTTGCTGGTTACGCATGTTCCAAGTTTTGTTTCATTAATAATTTATGGAAGCTATATTGTGATTTATTTCTGAGTGGAGTGTATACAATAATTTATATTTGTGATAAAACAAGGTGCACGATAGCAAAAGTGTAAAGTGAAGGCAAGTAATTAACAGATTACAACACTTCATTTTCAATGAAAATACCAGTTTCTGACTTAAATATTTTAATTTTATTAGCAAGTAATAATTAACAATTTCTATTAGGGAAAAACGACAAATTATGGAGATAATTTATTCGATTCTTATATTAATCTTGTTGAAATTATATGTCATTGAATTTTCGGTAAACCTCTTTTGATAAATTAAATATATTCGTTTGGTGTAACACTAGAATATTTCTAAGTTATGTTTAATATGTAAAACTGGCACATTTTAAATTATGTTTCAATATATAATTCTGGTTAATATTTAATCGAAATTATTCAAAATATACAGCATGATATTCTGTGTCTGATATTTTTCCAGATTCAAGCGAATTTTAAATATGTGTAAAATTATTTCGATAAACCATTGAGTGCATACAAAAAAATTAGGAAGACTGAAATTCCTACAACTGAGCTATTTGCAAAAAAAAAAAATTCTAGATTGGAATTTGTTTTGGAATGCTGCAAGTCTATAAACATCCAAATAGGCCTACGAATAAAGCCCTGGAATAACTGAATGGAACACCGGAGTTTTACGTTATAATTCCGAAATCTGGAACACAAACCTTCCGTGGAAACAAATAATCTGTCAATATTCTTATCGATAAAAATGTATACATCGCATAATACAGAATGTTATTCAAGTAACCAATCATAATTTACTCCGTATTTATTTGAAATTGTTGGCGATATTAGAATGGAGTGTTCTGTGTAAACAATCAGTACCACAGCAAGCATTTTAAATCCGTCAGACAGTGAAGAAATTCTGCAGTGAAATCAGCCAGCATATCAGCTACATATATAGTTCAAGATACTCGGTGATTCAAGCAAAATTCTCTTTGTCTTCATACAGTCCTACCTCAAATCAAAATGTGTACAATCGAACAGGTCTACACCCGTCGGCCAACTTTCCTTCTCAGTATTGTTGCGTACAGAAGCTGTTTCGTCGCCACTGTTTTCGAATTCTCTTTAGAATAGATCAACAGAAAGCAAAAGATCTTGAAGATGGACTGGAAATGAATGGAATAATTGAGATTCTGCATCTAACAAGTTAGTTTAATGAGTAAAAATATTAAGACTGTCAAGAGAAGCACAGAAATTATAGTAGACGCTAACAAGAAGGTTGAAGAAACGCATGTAAGCATGTAGAGACTAGGTTCATGTACGTATCTCGGCAGCAGGAGTCACAATATAAACACAAACATGAATTCATCTAAAGTACTGAAACACAGGAAATGTAGAAAATGAAGATCAAATTGTTCTACCTTGGAAAAAAACAGTAAAGCATGTATCAGAATTCATATTCACGAAGAAATTAGAAGCAGGTGAAATTTGAGGGACTTTTCCCAGAATTACGTTTGGTATTTTCTGTCTTTCGGTCTCGCATTTAAAATTTAAAATATTAAAAATATGCAGAAGTCTAATTTGAACCATATTTGATATGGTTGTGAAACTTGATGTTTCGGTCTAAAGAACGATATTGACAAAGGAGAGCCGTAATTGAGGAGAATATTTGTACCTGAAAGGATATGAATAACAAGCGCATGAAGAAAATTAAGTAACATAAAGAACATAATTTTGAATTATCGCCAAAAAATATTAAGTTTAATAAATCAATTTGGATTAGGGGGACGGGGCCTGGGGTTGATGAGAAATATACACACAATTTAGTAGGGAAACCCGCAAGACACAGACTACTAGGGAGAGAGTGGCTTAGATGGGAGGATAAAAAAGAAGTAAAGCTATCCCTGTAACTGTAACAGGCCGTGAAGTCCCCTAGGGTTGTGAGACGTCGAGACTCCCACATTATCTAGACAATCGGCTCACAGATGGCGGTAAGGTTGTCAACCTTACGCGCCGGCCGCGCTTTACTCCCCAGGAAAATTATTTAATTAATCCCTGGTACTCATTTTTGTTAGAAGCTGAGTCGACCACAGGGCCATAGTGCGGCTGGAATGATTAGGCCAATTGAAAAAAAATTCAATGACCTCAACTGGACTTGAACCCGCCACCTTCCGGCTTGTAGCATAGCCCCTCGACCAACTATGCTACCGCGTGTCCCAGATGGGAGGGTATGTCTGCTATTAAAAAGGATCTTACAGAAATAGAATGTCAGGATGTAGGATCGAATCATCTAGCTCAAAACACAAATCAACATGGGCTTTCGTGAATATGAAAATGAATTTTCGGGTTCCATAAAAGTTAAGCTGAAGGACCGCTATGTTCCTTCTCTAGTAGGATTTTACTCCATAGAATTATTGAGTTAAATTTCAGAAACAAGAGATAGATTAAAACAAAGAAATAAATAAAAACAATAATGAAATCTGGCAATAATCCTCCTTCATAAAATGTCAATATTTTCTGTCATTCTTGAAACAGGCCTTTGAATTAAAATACAGAAAATATTTACAATTAATAATAAATTATCTCACACTTGTAAATTAATTGTTTACAAAATGTATTTAACACTATTCTAAAACTTGCTTAGTTTTAACCTCTAATTCATATTAATGTCACATCGTAGGCTATCAGGAATATTCTGAAAGTGACTTCTCTTGAATTTTGTGTTACTTTGAAACGTGTCAATGAAACGGGCTCGTTCAAAGAAAGTGAAGTGTTGTATCTGGAAACAATTCTGAGAAGAAACAAAGACAGTGGAAGGACACGAGGAACTAACATGAAAACACTGTGCTTTGACATAACCTATAGTTGAAGAGTTTCCTAATAGTTTACGTAATATTTTCATTCGTAATAAGAAAGAAATACAGCGTGTGGTATTGACTTGTATATGTATCATACATACAAAAACACTATTATAAATATTATTGCTATTATATTGTAGATATTGTGTAAACACTCTCTTGTCGATTGTAAATATTATAGAGACTAATTAATATTCACTTATCACTTATCTACTCTTCTTATTGTTACTATAGCTTTATTTATTTTAGCCTGTATTCGTGATGAAATCACAGCCAGTGTAGTTTAGGGGCAGTACGCAATTACACCATGAAGAGCAAGTGTTTCGACATAACGCAAAAGTATTTGAAGAGTGCGGTCTTCTGCAATGTAATGTCGTGTGGTTTGGAAAGAGACTGCCGTATCGCAGCGATACGTCACTGCCATCATCAGGTTCTAACGTAAACCAAGAAAACAGGACAAGCTCTCTGAACTACACGGCGTCACAAACCGGAACACCTCGCTCTTCACATCAGCACCAGTGAGGACCTCAAATAAAATATGACAGAATTTGTCTTAAGGCGCATCCACATTACTCGTGCTCATGCTCGTGCTCGTATGACTCGCTATGCTCGCGAGTAATGTGGACGATATGACAAGCAAATTTAAAATTTTTAATTTAAAAACTATAGCCAATAAATTAAAATACGCCTACAGCCTATACACACTACGAGTAAATATACGGATCCTCACGCGCCGAAGCCTGGCGAGCAACTGAAGTAGTGTGGACGAAGATTTACGAGCACAAGTAAAAGTCAGACGAGTCTCCTGGCGAGCACG